TAATATGTTGTTGATATGTATGTTTTTACGTAATTAACAAAAACATGCATTCCGATTCTTTTGTCTAGGTACTGTATGTGTAATATTTTTTTTTTGTCTGATGAAATTGATTAAAAATTGCATATTCATGTTTTTTATTAAATTTATTTAACAATCATTTAAAAAAATTTTATCGTAACACATTATATTATTTTTATACACAAAAAAATAATTTTAAAATGAAATATTATGGGCAATGCCCAAAGAAACTCTATAGTAAATCTAATGTTATGGTCATTTAATACTGTTTGAATCCATATTTCATGATTACAATCTTGTAGTTTCTGTGAAGGTCGTGGTGTTCCTCACAAGACCATTTCTATGTCAAGTTCAACTTTACTTTGATTGTCAGTAAAGTGTCCTGTCAAAGTGTCCTGTCAGTAAAGTGGGTGCCGGCGAGGTGCCCCAGACCCCTATATAAAAATAATATTATGAAATTAATTTATATCAGATCCACATGAAACCCAAAGAATTATAGTACTATCAGAAATATTTTGAAGAAAAAAAAATTGCTCCCATTTTCAAAATAATTAATATTCAGATGCTTGAAGCTTATCTAAGGAAAGAAAGTATTACCTATGAAATTTGCCAGTGGAGAAAAAATAATAAATATTGGGAAAGGAAGCAGAATAAAGGTACATTATCATCCAACAAAAGTAGAAATCTTTAGAAGGGAATTAATCAATATTGATATACTTTTTCTTTACTACAAGGAAAATTCTCCTTTATGCAAGTGTAATTAATGATCATTATATTGATTATCATTCAAGAATACATTTATAAATCTTTGTTTTTCTCTTATTGACATTAAAACAAGGTAAATAATCCAGTCTTTTGTTAGAACATTATAAAAACAGCATCAATTCACTTATTTTTTGGTAAAAAATCGAATAACAAAACTTTCAAATAATCATTATTGAATACAATTTTATTTTGTTTAAAAAACAAATAATCAATAAATATTTTCATCCATAATAACACTTTAAAAAAAATGCTTACTTTTATTGTGAAATTTTTTATAGACCATCTATTGGACTCTTTTTTGATTTCTTGCTTCACTATAAAACTTACAAAAATCAACTCTAAATTGTAAATCGAAAAATGGATCAAATAATCAATAACATAGAACCAAAAAAATGGCAATTTAAAAATAATCATACATACTTATTAGTGATAAAAAATATTCAAAAGGATTTCAAAAAGTTATCTGACAAAAAGATTGAGTTTAATCCCGATTTTTATTTAGTGAAATGGCCATTGAAATTCACTTTTTACTTGAAGAAAGAAAATGAATTGTTATCTCTACAATAAAAGACTTCTGCCAACAAAAAACAAATCCTAGGAGAAAGATGTTAGAAGCAATTCAGAAGTGGCTTGAGAAAGAAAGAAAAATACTTGCTTGTCAAAACATGTTTGGTAAATTATTTCAAGCTGAGAAAACAATTCAATTATTGTACTTTCCTTCTCCGACCAATTAGTAAAAAATTTATGCTATTTTAGGCAACTACAAATTGTAGTCATAAGGATTTTTTGTAAAAGTGAAAAATTATTCCATTCAAGATGGTGTACATTTTGGAACTTTATATTTTTTAACAAAATCTTGAAAAATAATATTATAAACCAAAGTGTTGGTAGTTATCATATTTTTGAATATAGTTAGTTTTTTCCAAACTTCAATTAGTGATGTATCATAAGTTCATGTTCATGGTGAATTTTGATAATACAAACATCATTTTCTATTGTTGAAACAAATAGTGAATGCTTTTTGTTTATAAATAAGTAATGATTAACAACCGGAACCTCTGTTTTTTTAAAATGATTCAATAATCAAAAGCTTATTGACAGTTTTTTTTCTTGGGGTATTTACTTTACCAACATATTACTATCATTTTATCAAAAGTTCACTTTACAACTGTTCATTTTATCAACTGTTCATTTCACTGAAAGTTCATTTCATATCATGGATTAAAGTGTCAATGAGTTTAGGTGAAGATTATTAATGATATTAAAGGATTTGTTAATTGTAACCTAGAAAGGGGATTGTTCCAGGTATCAAACATTGACAATGATTGTAAAGAGCAATATTCTATGTCCATTCATAACAGAATCCTTAATCAAAAAGTCAGATCCATTTAGAGTTTTTGTTAAATCTTCAGGAATAATAAGATTTGGGTTCTGTAGGAAGATCAGAACTCCAAATTTGAGTAATTAATTGGCATAGTGCATCATGAGATGAAAGGTATGAGTGAATTACGTGAGAACTATTTATTAGTAGATACAGTTAGAATAACCTGTACAGGCAATTCACTGGTTTCTCTTTCAAAGTACACAGTGAGTCTCGGTATAGTGGATAATTTGGGCAATTAGAACAAAAATTTCAAAAATCCGTTATACCAAGATTAATTCAAGATTTAATTAGTAAATCCGTTAAACCGAGAGAATTTACTTATAGACGGTTCTGAGCTTTGATCTGTTAAACCGAGAGTTTTATTAGACATCCGCTATACCGAGACTTACTGTGTATTAATAGTCATTGTAACATTAACTCAGCTTGCCTCTGCAGCATGATTATGATTAGAAACACTGTGGAGATGATTTTCTCCTTCAATTACTGCTTGGCAATTACACTGTAGTGCAACACATTTCATGCCCATTCAATGCAAATAGGAAACACTTCATTATCAGAAAACTGCCACCAATAATGAGAGAATGGTCCATAATGTGATTCACTTATTAAAGCACCTTTATTTAAAAGAGTAACAGGAAATGAATTTAATATTGGTTTTTAAATTTATATTAAATTTTATATTTTGTCTTATTAATTTTCTGCCAATTATAAAAAGGATCAGCAATTAACATATTGAAAATATCAATACACTTCTAATTCACACTTCATTTTGAATCTCTTTACATTCCCATGCAGAAACCGAATTTGGAAGCCAAATCCAATCTTGAATTTGTGGTATAATAATGCCAACAACTGATTCAGATAGCCTTAATCTATTGCTCACTCTGAAAATTAAGTATGAACATTATAATGAAGTTCATACAATATTATTCAGCATATTTAAAAATGCTTACCACAAGTATATAAAGAAGTTCAAAGACTGCCAAAAAATCCACTACATCAATGAATTCAAGTGGTAGTGTTCAGGGTTGGAAAATGTGCGGTTCATTAATGGTCTATTGGTGGTCCATTGGGTCCATTAGTGTAACACTTTAACCATATTTGGTATTTTATTAATGGCAATGGACCAGTCCAAAATCCATCTGTTCTCAATGGACCAGTCAATTTTTCAGCCCTGGTAGTGTTACATGCTTATTTATAAGTCATAGCTTACTAAGCATTAACTGATCACCTAACAAATATTTCCATGTAAATTTTACATTTTAAAATAACTAATGAATGACTGATAGAGTGCAGTAAATAAATTACCAATGCTTTGAATTATGAACATGTACAACTGCTTTGATTCTTCTGCACCATATTCATGCCATTTTCTTTTATCTGCCTCCTGTTAAAATATGACAGATGTCTTTTAATATTAATCTATATACCATCATTTATATTGGTATATTACTTACCTTCTCTTCATGACATGATCCAAATCAGAAAATTCAGTTTCACCCATATTGTCAATATAATCAACAGGTTCACTTTTTTGAGTTCTCTTGTAGAACATTCTCTCCTTCCTAAAAGAAATCACAAAAGATAATGCATTTATAATCAGAAGATACATATTTCAACCACATGACTGATCATACTTACTTTTCCTGTTCTTCCATTCTTTTCTTCAATAAATTTTTATGTTGCTGACTAAGGTTTCTGGTCCAAACTGTTTTCTCAAAGCTCAAACTAGTTTGGGCAATTTGGGCTTCTCAACACTTTTTATAAGCATGAACATTTAAAAAACTATATGAATCAACTTGTTTTAACTTAAACAACTTTAAAATAATTTTGCCCAATTTCGGCTAATAACAAAAAGTAGTTTGGGCTTATAAAAAAAAATTTTTGCTCAAAGTATTTGGGCAATTTCGGCTACCAATAGAAGCAGTTTCGGCCAGAAACCTTATTGCTGACCCATTTCATTAATGTTCTAATGTGCACCACCTATGGGATACCATATCAATATTTATTTATTATAAAATTAGAGTGATGACAAGTGGTAATAACCACCACCACCATTCTTATGACCAGCAATATCTTCTTAGACTTTTTCTTGTTTTCTTTTTTGGTGATTGATTTCAACATTTTTTTATTTTTTTTTAAAAATAAAAAATAAAAAGTAAAAAAAATGTAAAACATATCATTATTATTGGCACTTGGTGTTGTACAAAGATTTTGTATTACAAAATTATTTCCTGCAAGATCTCATACAGTCACTGCACAGGTGATTTTTAATTGATTGATTGATATATATTTTATTTAAAAAAAAAAAAAGAAAAAGAAATCCTTTCAACAATATGTACGTTATTAATGAATAAGCTTAAAAAAAATTAAAAGGGTGGTATCAATGCTGCTCTAAGTAATATGACTGAGGATGATTGGAGATGGCATATGTATGATACAGTAAAGAGCAGTGATTGGTTAGGTGATCAAGATGCAATACATTACATGTGTCATGAAGCACCTTGGAAAGTGATTGAACTTGAACATTATGGTGTTCCTTTTTCAAGAATTGAGGAAGGCAAGATTTATCAAAGAGCTTTTGGTGGTCAAAGTTTACACTTTGGAGAAGGTATACATATACATAATATAAATATGTTTTTTTTTATTGATGTGAATTGTTTTTTTTCTTCCTTGGAAAAACAATCTATTTTTTGACAGAGTCCAAGATGACAAAATGCAGTTTTCCTATTAATAATTAACCAGAGGTGCTATTTTTTGTTTGTATTGATATATTTATATATATTTTTACTTTTTTTGATATAATGTGGCTTTTAGTTTATAAATATATATTATTGAAATCAAAACACTGAGCAGGTCTTGCTGGGTAATTATAAGATTCTTGTCAAGAAGATGAACAATTGATATTTTACTTTGTGTAATTGTCAAGGCAGTACACCATTGAAAAAGAGACATTTTGAGTATGCATTGTTTGATTATTGGAAATTTGCAAATATTGAAGCACACACTCTGCCTTGAACACTTTACAGTCATTCTCTCATGTGCAGAAGGCTAATCTAGCCTGATGGACTGATGATACAATGATGCTGCAGAATTCCAGGGGGAATACATGGTCCTAGAGTTTACTAAGTCTGCATCAATCATCAAGGATGCTTTTCACTAATCTTCCTTGACCTGAGAAGGTTGCTGACACTCTAGCCACCTTGCAACCAAGCTGCAACTCTGGAGGAATATTAAGAGAATCTGCAGCTCATTTGAAGCATAGGGAATGAGGTTTCTGGCTGAAACTCTTTTTATTAGTAGCCAAAATTGCCAAAACACTTTGGGCAAAAATTAATTTTTATAAGCCAAACTATTTTTTGTTATTAGCTGAAATTGGGAGAAATTACTTTAAAGTTGTTTAAGTTAAAATAAGTTGATTGGTATAGTTTTTTAATGTTCATGTTTATAAAAAATGCCAAGAAGCCCAAATTGCCCAAACTAGTTTGGACTTTGAGAAAACAGTTTGGACCAGAAACCTTAATGGGAAGGTTACAATTCAGAGCAGGGTTGGTGACCCTGAAATTGCATTTGGGCTCTAATGTTAAGAGGAAAGTTGTAAAATATTGTTTGTTATGTATAATCATTTTCATAAATTCTCTGTTTTTGATACTAACCAATTTATAATTTTGAGTAGGGGTTTTTGCTCAATCATTGGAAATATTCTGTGAATTATGTAGTTTTTTTAATGCCACAGTCATATCTTTACTAGTTCTTTTATTTCAATGATTTACACTTTTCTCACCATTTAACCAAATAGCTTTGTATATAGTTGCAAAACCACCTTCACAAAATTTGTTAAATCATTATAAGGAATCCACCAAAGATAATAATAGTTATACTCAGTTGCTTTAAGTTGTGTGCTTTTAATTAACTCATCTAATGCTTCATTGTTACTAGTCCATATTTTAGTTAATAGCTTTGGGTTGGATGATTGACAACATGACTGATAAGTATTATATCTATTACAAGTTGGACATTTCCTATATTATTTGTTTCTTCTTTTTGAATATTCATCATTTTGAAGATTTCTACCTTCCATGTAATGCATTGCAAAGATATATTCTTTTGTAATTGGATCTTGTGTTAATGAGACTTTGCATAATTTTTGAACTAAAATAACAATATTTAATTACAATGATAATATATATTTAGTTTAAAAATTTTAATAATTAACAAAAAAAAATTTGCTGTAGGGCATTATACATCTCAAATTTTATATACATTTTTTTTTTGATCATAGAGGCGATTTCAAATGGCATACACACATTGCTGTAAGTATATTTGGAATATTTATATAAGGTCTTATGTAAAAAAAACTTATTATACTTTTAGTGGAAAAATTGCCAGTACTTTCAGAAGTATTATAATCTTTGCAAACATATTTAGATAAAGAAAGGATTACCTATGAAATTTACCAAGAAAAAAGAAAAATTATAAACATTAAGAAAAGAAAGCAGAATGAAAGTTCGTCTCAAAGAAAAAATGAACCAAGAGAATGTCAGATGTTATGATAATTGATAATAGTTTAAGTATTGGACTAAGTGAGGTCATTTGATTCCCAACAATACTAAAGATAAACAATTGTATCATAAAAAAAAAAGAATTTCCACTATCTTACAAAAATCCAGAGAATTGATGAATTAGTATAAAGCATACCAATTACTGGATGGAATTTTTGATTTTTCTCTAGAAAATTATAAACAAAAAAAAGGAAATTTTAGATAAAAATCACCTAATGCGGACATTCTCCGAAAGGCTTATCCTATCTTACCTGGACGTGGTGGAATAGGTTAACCCTAGGCTGGACAAATTCCGACGGAAAATTCGCTAAAATCATCCGGAGCATTCACTACATTCACCGTGATTATCCGTGATTATCACCGGGTAAATATGCCCCCGGCGAGGTAATATAGGATAAAGCCTATTTTGTACAACTTCCCCTCACTATCCCTGTCCGCATGTGCTGATAAAAATATACCAAATCTGAAATCAAGCATTGTCCCAATCACAATTCCACCAGTATGTAGATATTTATATCTATCTACATTTGATATTAATCCTAGTCAATGCATGCTACAATAACCAATCAATAATAATAATAATAAATTCATAAAAAAATAAGAAATAAATTTTATTTTTTTTATCAATAATTGATTAAATTATATATAGTTTTTTTTTTTAAATAAATAATAATTAAAATTTTTGGATTTTTTATACATGTTAGTCTTCAAATGGTTATTATCATACATAATTATTTCTATTTCAATTATTATTGATGAATTTATAAATTACAAAAAGATTTAATAAAATACATACAAGTAATGTTATATAATGAATGTTATATATTATCAAATTCGAACTCAAAATTAGGCCATGGCGTTGTAACCCAAGGAATCAGAGGTCCTCTCATCATTTGACAAGTAAAGCTGTCCTCAGAGTTTATTTTTAAACGCGAGTCTCCAAAATTAGTGGTAATAGTAATGTTTTCATTTGACAAGTTCGTAAACCCATCAATAATATTTCCAGTAAGAATGGATTCTGTTTCTGGAAAACCTATATTTCTTCTTCCATTTAACAAATGGTTTGCCATTCCTTCATCTTTAAAAAAAAATAATAATTAATTAAGAATATTTAATATTGCGAAAAAATATATTTATATTTATGAATCTTACCCAGTACGTTATTAAAAATAATATTATTAGTACTATTAGCAACATAATTATCATAACCGGAACATGAAGGTGTGCATTCATTTTTTACCTTCTCTTTCTTTTCTTCTGTCATAAATTCTCTTTCTAAAAAATATATTTTTTAAAAAAAAAATAATTAATTAATATTGCGAAAAAATATATTTATATTTATGAATCTTACCCAGTACGTTATTAGTAATATTATTAACATTACTATTAGCAACATAATTATCATGTCCGGAACATAAAGGTGTGCATTCACTTTTCCCCTTCTCTTTCTTTTCTTCTGTCATATATTCTCTTTCTAAAAAATATATTTTTAAAAAAAAAAAATAATTAATTAATATTGCGAAAAAATATATTTATATTTATGAATCTTACCCACTACGTTATTAGTAATAATAATAACATCATTACTATTTCTATTATTAACATTACTATTAGCAACGTAATTATCACAACCGGAACACAAAGGTGTGCATTCACTTTTTTCCTTTTCTTTCTTTTCTTCTGTCATAAATTCTCTTTCTAAAAAATATATTTTTTTAAAAAAACAATAATTAATTAATATTGCGATAAAATATGTTTATAGTGTTAATAAGTATTACCGAATTCTACGTTATTAATAATAATAACATTATTGTTGTTGTTGTTGTTGTTGTTATCACGACCGGGGCATTCAGGTAGACATCTACGTTTTTTCGCCTTGCAACTTGGGCAAGCTTTTTTATTATACGCACCATTTTTCCTTACATATGATTTTTGTTCAGACATTTTGTAAAAATTGAAATAGTAAAAAATTGACAAAAAAAAAAAACAGGAATCGTTTGTTTATTTATATCCAATTTTTGCGGAAAAATTTTTTTAAAAAAACTATAAAGTTGTTGAAGTTGTGAAAGTGGTTATGCATTAATTTTATGTAATATGTTCAAAGAAATAAAATAAAAAGGAGATCAAAAGCCTTTATTCATTATTATTAGCGTAATCAGTAAGAAAGAAAAGAAGAATATGAAAATAGACATGCTTTTAAAAAATTTTAAAACATCAAGGAATTTTCGCGACTAACCAAATTTGGACAGATTTTCACTCCATTATATATATACTAATACGGTTGGCTCGGTCCAATTGCTGCGCCATGCGGCAATTTTGTAATTCGTTCAAAATAGGACTTCACGTGATTTTAGTTTTCTTACCGCCAAATTTAGATACGATAGACAAGAGCTAGTCTAAATTTGGTAATATTTTCCTAAATTTAGAAATGATCATAGTGGAAAATTCCTCGCGAGCATAGTAAAGTATATGTTTTAAAAAAGAATAGAACTCTACAACAAACAATTTTTTTGATAAAATCTCTCTATTATATTAAAACTAAAGACATATTCTATCAATTAATAGAGCTATTTTTTTAAAAGGTACGGTGCAGATCATCTATAATCATTAATTGCTTATAATAACAATTGGTCAACTTGAAAATACTAAAACAAAAAAAAATTATATCATTTTAAAAAAATTAACCGGTAAGTTTTATTGTTCATGACTCAAGCTTCAAAACTTATCGGCTGGTTTTTTCTTAAACCGAAAATTGGCTGAGCCTTAGCATTTTGAAAATTCCGAATTTTGTTATACACTTAAGAAATTGAGACTAAGTAAATTT